GAATGCATGTGTGTGTGTGTGTGTGCGTGCGCGCGCGCGCCGATGAAGCTTCACACCAAGTCATGGATCCCACAGGGTGAGATTTGACATGAAGTTTCAGACATGATTCCAAAGCTTCGCAGCCCACTGTCCTCAGCACGGATACTTAACAAAAACTACACATTACGGATGAGATGGGGTACCAGAATATCAATCAAGGATGCAAGGGACTATTGAAAGACTTCCGTTGGACTCTCACCGACTCATCAGGAGGCTGAACCCTCGACAGTCTGTATAATCCCCATATCGATGCTTCGAGTCATCGTCTACTTCAATACCTGTTGCGAGTGGATAGTCAGGCCGGCGACAACACAAGCAGCAAGGCAATGGAGGTAGTAACAAAGTACAGGGTGAGCGGCCAAGTAGGTGGGAAGGCGGGCCAGGCTCATGATTCAGCGAGAAGGTGGGTGTGCATCCCAGCCGGACGCTCGGCAACCCAGGAAGTAAGAAGATAAAGCAAGCCGGCAGGTGGGACACACCAAGCAGATGAGCAGCCAGGCAGCGGGGCAGCGGGGCAGCGGGGCAGCATCGACAAGGCAGTGCACACATATAGCATGGCCCAAAAACGACCATTTCGTCAAAATGGACATTTTTTATTTTTTGAACGAAATTGAAACTGAGTTTTTTGGCTGAAAACTCGTCAAAATTTGTTGTTCCTGAGGGTCCAGCGTTTTACAAACGCTGGACCCCTTGGCTGTACATGGACCTAGCTTGAGACCAGGTACCTCCAAGCAGGAGTGCCTGGAGGTACCTGGTCTCAAGCTAGGTCCATGTACAGCCAAGAGGTCCAGCGTTTGTAAAACGCTGGACCCTCAGGAACAGCAAATTTTGACGAGTTTTCAGCCAAAAAACTCAGTTTCAATTTCGTTCAAAAAATAAAAGATGTCCATTTTGACGAAATGGCAGTTCAAAGCGGATAACCATTTCATCTGCAATCAGACTCGCTTTCACTTCCACTTCACACACATGCAAACAGATGGAGATTCACACCGGCGCAGGGCGCCCACTCAAAGCTTAGAGATACGGAAATCAAGAACACAGTTCAGATGCAAGTTCACTTCAACAGGCTATGGCGCATCGGCGCCTGAACATCCCAACCTTCGTCACTGTGTCCAACCCCACTGTTCACACATGCTCACTCTGGATCACCCTGAATACCACCACACACACACACTTAATCTCACTTCCTCCTACAGCGGCTATGGCAGCACTACCACTACTGGTTATGGCTACGATCTCCCTTCAGCCCACTTCGTCTTTGGGCAACCTGCAGACCACCTTGCACAAGACGCTGTAGCAGCGCTTCCGCATGGCTTACGCAGCGAATGAATGAATGGCTGGGCACTGCCTCCTGATTTATACTTCTGTAACTCGTTGGTCTGCCCCTCTCCACCAGGCCTATGGTGCACACAGTCCCTCACGGTACTTGCTTTACTGGACTGGGACTGACTGGACCGGTGCCGCTGACTGCATGGGTTTGCACTGCCCACTCAATGCAGTCGCACTGCCGACATAATGCAGCTGGGCTCACCACTTGCCCACTTGCCCACTTGCCTCTGACTAAAACGTGAGGCAGCTTCGAAAGGCCACTTCCGGACCTTCTGGAAGTCTGTGGACTTGGCCTTTTGAGTACTGTTACTACTGTAGCAGCTACGACCTTGACCTTTCAGGATTCCTACAGCTACGACCTCTACAGGGCTGTGACTTCTACTTGACAGATCTACAGATCGTCTGCAGGCAGTAGATCCAAGCATGGTGGGTAGTTTATCTGGGGCGGATGCCCCCTACCATTACACAGACCTACGACAGACAACGACAACTCTCAAAACGCAGGTCACGGGTTCAAACACTCGGGGTAGACACAGATATTGTACACACGTAAAGTGAGGACTAGGGATCGAGCCCTGGGACCTGCATCCGCTACTGCTAACAGGTGAATACCGTTTCACATCATACCCCAAGCAGGAAAAAAAAAAAGAAAAAAAAAAGAGCAGAACTCTACAGACTGTAGGTTCGCACCACCATCAGAGTCAGAGAGTCACTTTGGCAAAAGTCTGTCATGATCACTGAACACTGGCACACAGGCATCCCGAACACAGCAGCCCCACACATCTAATGACATGGCACTGAGTATTTGGCACATCTTGAAGGTGCTGCACTTAGACACTAAGAAAACACAGGGAAAGGCCATAGCCTGGACGAAGTAGACAACATAAAGAACATGTTAGGCAGAGAGGAAGAAAGGAAGTAATAGATAATATGCTTGTGTGTGTGTGCGTGTGTACGTGTTTTGTTTGTGAACATGTGTGTGTGTTCCTGTGAGACCCTGCACACATTGCCTGCTGTGCGAACGTTTCACATTTCAGGTCCATCAAAGCCCCTCTGCTGCCAGGGTGACGAGCAAGACCAATGGGGGCGAGACACAAAGGAATGCAATCTTCGACATATGGTACCTGAAGAACTGCCAGGTGGGCCTTGCAAGCGAGGGAACTTCGACCATACTCATACTCGGACTTTTTCGACTGAATCTGGTCATATGATTGCAGTTCGATACATTCCAGAAAGCCCTAGTGTGGGGATGCCATTCCCATGTTCTCTGGCATGCAGATGCACGTCTGCCGCCTTCTTTCTTCTTCTTTGCTGCCTGTTTTTTTTGTCTAGTACTTTTTTTCTTTTTCTTTTCTCTTTCGGAAACGACGGAAAGGGCGACGGCCTTCAGATATCTTTTTTTTCTTTTTCTTTTTTTTTTTTTTTTCAAAGAAACAGCCCGAGCGGCTACTAGGGGTGCTGATTTGATCAGACACCACTAGCAGTGTCGGGATGGCTCCATCTATTGGTGGGGAGCAACACCTGCTGGAAATCGGGTCCAGCGTCCCTGTAAAGTACATTTAAAATGCAATTATACAGTTTAATGTGAACCATGTCAGGTACGAGAACAATAAGCTCGTGACAGATTAGTAAGCCTGTAATCTGTACTAACTATCAGTTGTACTGTAGTTTACAGTGTGAACCCTGTCAGCTTTGAAACCAATCAAATTGTGGAAGGATTAGTATACATGTGGGGGAGGTGGGCTGTAATCGGCCCACCCTCCTCATTGTTTCCTGGGGCTGTGGTTATTTGTCTTGCTGGACCAGGACTCCATCGTCCCATGGAGCTTCTGCTACCGTCTTCCCCCGAACATATCGCACCCTTAAAATGAATGTATACAAGTTGTATTGCCGGCCAGATACAGCCAAAATGAGGGTGCGTTGTGTTCGGTGGAAGACGGTAGTAACACCCATCCCATTCTTGGAGCCCCCATTATCTGTTAACCCAGCCCTATTCAGCAGCCCACCTAGTTCTTGGCCTTCAGATATCATCGTTGCCCCGGCCCCCAGGTAATTCGGAACTATTTTGTTCCGTTCATCTGAGTGCATCTGGATTCGAACTTGGGTCTGATTCATATTTTAACACTTCGTGGATGTATGGACTGAGCTCCGCTTGTTGGTTCTAGTACACTTTTACTTTTTCAAAACATCACGTGTTGCATCCCTTCAGCTCTCTCTCCCCCCCTCCCTCCAAAAAAAAAAAAAAAGTCACATTTTAATATGCTGGGAAACGGGCCCAGCGTCCCTTACATCGTTGGCGACGGTCGGGATCAGCAAGGAGGCACACCGGCCAACCAGATCCCTGACCACAGCATAGCAAATGAGCTCAGTCAACACGAAACCCTAAAAACAGCGAAGAAATACCCACTCCAATCGATGTCCCAAACCCGAAAATCCAAAAGGAAAAAACAAGCCTATAACTACCAACTAACAATCATAATTAACACAAAAAAAAAAAAAAAAAAAAAAAAAAAAAAAAACCAAAAAAAAAAAAAAAAAAAAAAAAAAAAAAAAAAAAAAAAACCAATCCTATAACTACAAACTAACAACCATAATTAACGAAATAAAAAACCAAGTCTACAAGCAAATTATGATCGGCATAGTTCGCAGAAGGAACATCGCCGCCGTTTGCAAGAGAGTCAACACAAGCAAAACGGCACTCCCCATTGCGCGGCCCCGGCAGACACAAGAGTCGAACAGCTGAATCAACATCTTCAAACAAGATTGATTTCCTCCTCAAAAAAGGGATCCAAACAAGGTTTCGCATCTATAATCAGCAGACGAAGCCCCTGATGATCGGGTTCCATATTCTGATATGCACGTCGTGGAGATCCTGCCCTTCGACCGCCGCACATCTTCCTTCATCCCACCATGGTCATCGAGGATTACCGACAAGAGTCAGCCAGGACGAGGAAATGGCGGAGGCTTAGTATCGCCTCCTTGAAGCGCCCCCCCGCCCCTTTGGCGCCCATGCGCCCCAACCTCTCCTCCGCTCCCGCCACCCCAAAAACAAGCTCTGGCACAGCGCACCCACGGTCGCGGATGCACCCACGCGATCCCCCGTTGCCTACGGGCTGTCAGGGGTGTTGCACCAGCGCAGTGTTACTCCTGCTCTAGTGTAACACCTGCCATAGGCTTTTCTAGTGCAGCGTCACCGCTGGACTAGCACAGGCCCGCCACAGGCCCGCATCCTTTCAACTCTCATCTGTTGCGTAGCAGTTGTTCTGCTATAAAGATATATTAACATCTTGGCTCCATCAAGATGAACTCAACAAGATGAGGTGGAGGCACACGCCGCGCTAGCGCTAGCGCCCCGTAGCTGACCAACCGGCGAGGCCCGGTTGCTACTCAGCTCGACCAGATTCAGGAAGTTTGCTTCCTGTTCGCTGGGCCTGTGCGCGCACCAGACAGACACGTGGCAGTGGCTGCACTGCTTGCTACCTGTGTGGTGACGTGGTTCCCCTGTGGTGCGTGGACAGGGGCAGCGCCAGCCGTGTGGAATTAACGTTCAAGTGACAACAGCGGCGTGAATCCTCGGGAGAGACATGGATTCTAAGGATGACTTACAACGTGGTGCGGCGGTTTGGCTGGAGCTCTTGGAGGTAGGCGGTCAGCTTCTGCGGGCGCTTGTCGGGAGGATGTCTATGCAGCTGCAGAAGGGGTCTGAGGTTGACGGGGGGGCAATCTCGTTGGCCGCTTGGTTGGCAGACATCAATCAAGACATGCTGGACATCATCTGGGAGCTGGAGGAGGGGCCGGATCCCCAGCTCGATGCCCTCATTGATTGGGGGTGGGCGGATGCTCTGATGGCTGTCTGTAACTCCCTTTTCGCCCAGGGATCTCATTTACGTGACCAACTCGAGGCTCGCGCCATGGGAGTGGGTGGAGGTTTTGTTCCCACCATCAATTCTCCCGATGAGGGATCTACCAGTGATGAAGGCACTGCCACTGCGACGGCCTTTCCCGCCATCCTTCCTCACAATACCACAATCAAGTCAACATCAACCATACTACTGGACGGGGGTGACAACAACATCCGCTATTCTGTTAACCAAGATGATGATGACGACTGCGGCTATCACGGTGACGACGACGATGGCATTTCAGCCCAAGCGCGCCGCGGCAGGGGAAGACTGCAACACGGATTTGTCATCTCCTCCCCCCCCTCCGATTGCGATGCTGCTCATCTCATTTTTTGCAACGACAGCAACAATACTGTTCTTACTGACACTCACATCATTGTTCACAACAACGGCGCCAATACCAATACCAACAACAATAACAACAAGTGCATCAACAACAACCCCAATCACCACGTGGACGTTGGTGATGCTCAAGGGAGCAGCGGGTTGCGCTATAGCATCGGGGTGGCTGTGCTTCTCATCGTTGCGAGGGATACAGTTTTTTTTCTCGCCACCCTTCATATGGGTTTCTTCTGTATGGTTTGGAGGCGGATCGGGGT